AGGAAATTGGGTGGAGCTTTTGCTCGGGAGGGAGGGCAGGAGGCATGCAGCCCGCCCCTCCCTGTGCATTTTGGGCTGGGGGAGGGGCGGCGATGGCGCTCTGCTGGAGGGGCGCCGGAGATTATTGGGGGGGCGGAGCCCCCCCAAACGAATTTTTGAGGGGGCTCGGGCCCCCTCAAGCCCCATGGAGTCGGCGCCTATGCTCACACGTCACTTGGGAAACTCAAGCCCGGTATATTTTAATATAAATAATATTTCTGTTACGTTAACAAACCTATATATCATCCTCGGTCCTGCTTCTTATGCCAATTTGCTTAATATGTGCTATTATTTGTTTAGAGTAGCTGTAGAGTTGCTTAATAAGTCTTCAGTGACTTCCATTTTCATTGGTACTGTTGTTGTTCTTATTTGCATTGTTCTGTGCATTTATTCCAAACACTGCATGAATGACTCTCCCCCCGCAAGAGAATATTTCTGTATTTTTTGCCCTGCTAAAGTGAGACAAGGGGCAGAAAGTAAGGCTATAAACATTGTATCTTAAAAAAGCTACAAGAATCATAATAATGCCACATAGTTCGGGACTTTCCTGAGCCTTCAAAGTCACAGAAAGAAGTTCTGGGTTTGTCCACATTTGAGCTTTATTTAGCTGTTAAACCACTCCCCACCACATTCGGATTAAACCAAAGTAGTCCACACCCACACATATTGAATTTGTATGAGAAGCACCTTTGGTTTTTCCCATTTTACATTTGTCCCTTTTGTATTTATCCCCACCTTCAATTTTTTAAAATTCTGTTATACAGATTGATCAACTAGACCAGGGGTCTGCAACCCGCGGCTCCGTAGCCGCATGTGGCTCTTTTACACCTTTGCCGCGGCTCCGGGGCAGATACTAGCGAGGGGAGGAGGCGCATTGTGCGCCCCAACACTCCTCACTGTGGCGGGCGCTGTACTGGCTGTGACGTCGCATGGGGGCGGTGCGTGCGTTAGTCACGCACCGTCCCGACGTCACCTTCCCGCCCGCTGTCAGATCGCGGCTCCGGAGATATATTTGTTTTAAATGTCGCAATGGTTTTGCGGCTCCCAGTTGTTTTTTCTTCGGAAACGGGTCCAAGTGGCTCTTTTTGTCTTAAAGGTTGCAGACCCCTGAACTAGACAGATTAACTACCAACAGGGAACATGTGCAGATAGCTGTGTGTGCACCTAGTTGTTGTTTTTTAAATTCCCCCATCCAGGAAGTGTGCAAAAGCACACAGTCACACAACTGTAAATTCTGAGCACATACTTTGCATTTTCTGGTTTTGTGCAAATCTGAGGGGCCAAAAGTATATATGCTCCTTTCCAAGCACAAACTGTGTTTGTGTGCACACACACAAAAAATTAAAAACGTATTAAAACCAGTGTTTAAAAAAATCTAAAAGAAAATTCCGTTTTTTAGAAAACTGGATTAAAACACCCTACCCGCAGAAAAGGCTACAATTAAAAGCCAAAGGCTTGATGAAAAAGAAATGTTTTTGCCTGGCCCTTAAAGACATGTAATGATGGCACCAGGCGATTCTCCATGGGGAGAGCATGCCACAAGCAGACCTCCCATCATGGAAGGGGAATATGATGAAGGGTCTCAGATGATGACTGCAGCATCTCGGTTAATTCATATAGGGAGAAACAGTCCTTGGTGTATTGGGGTCCTGAGCCACATAATACTGTATAGGTCAAAAATATCACTTTGAATTGGGCCCAGCAAATGACTGGCAAGCAGTGCAGTCGGTCCAGGGTTGGCGTTATGTGCTCAAGACCATCTTGCTCCAGCGACGTGCCCCAACCTGGCTGCCAAATTCTCTACCAGCTGCAGTTTCTGAACAGTCTTCAAAGGCAACCCCAAGTGTAATGCAGCTATGAAAGGAAGACTGCTGCTTCATGGAAGTTATCCATTTTTAACAGTACTGGCCTCTTTGGCCACCTGAAACAAATGAACAACGTAAAATACGCATCTCTTTCAAAGAAAGAAGTGAGCTGCTGTAACAGCACAAAGGGCAATAAATGAGGTGCAGTTTGTAACGTTCCCGAAATTGCTCTTTCAATACCCACCCACTAGGTGCGTGATCATTTGGCACATGATGGGAATTCACATTAGAAGACTGATGTGGCATTTTATTTCCACCACTCTGCGGAACTCATCTTCCACCTCCTGGGATGCCTAAGGCACACATTTTCCCATGCTCCAGGGGGTGCTCCTTCAGTTCCCGCCCACTTGACAAATGGCCATTTCCAACAAATATTTCTTGGGACCAAGAGCAGGCAAGCAGAGGATTGTGAAAGGAACATCTTTCTGGCCATTTGTTTGAATATCAGCTGGTGATCAGGAGCAACTTAGCAATATCTCCTTAAATTCTGCATGGAGAACCTGGCCTGAAAGGCAGCAATATTACCAAGAAGGAAGAGAAAGGAGCCATAGTGGATGGACGCCGGGTCCCAGGCCTTATGAGCAGCCAGGGAGCAATCACCTCAGATACACAGGAATCTACTTTATACCAAGTCAGACCTTTGATCCATCATGAACAGGCATCAAGTCTCCAGGGTTTCAGGCAGGGAATTTCCCTAGTCCTACCTGGAGATAAGGGACGCAGGTGGTGCCGTAGGTTAAACCACAGAGCCTAGGGCTTGCTAATAAGAAGGTCGGTGGTTCAAATCCCTGCGAGAGGGTGAGCTCCCGTTGCTTGGTCCCTGCTCCTGCCAACCTAGCAGTCTGAAAGCACGAAGTGCAAGTAGATAAATAGGTACCATTCCCGCGGGAAGGTAAACGGTGTTTCTGTGCGCTGCTCTGGTTCGCCAGAAGCAGCTTAGTCATGCTGGCCACATGACCTGGAAGCTGTCTGGGGACAAACGTCGGCTCCCTTGGCCAGTAAACTGAGATGAGCGCCACAACCCAGAGTCGTCCGCAACTGGACCTAATGGTCAGGGGTCCCTTTACCTTTACCTGGATATAGGGAGGCATTTGTTATGCAAAACATGCACTTTGTGACTGAGCTATGATCCTCACTCTATGATAGTACTTCATAACAAAAGGCAGAACACACACACTTTGTACAATGATAGTATTTCATTAATGAAATATACCCATTAATTCATCATTGACAAGCTGGAACAATATACTGCGTTGTAACTACATGTATATAAAGCAAAGAATATCTTCAGAGAGATACACAGCATTGATCAAAGCAGTGGTTATCAATAAAGATTTCTGCTGTGCAAGTAATGATTACAAAATAGGGAATATTGTCTTGGGTCTAATTATGCTAGTCGGTTTTTCACTTTTGGTTAGTGAGAAAGTGGAACCCAGATTTAAGAGGTTACTAAGAAGAATTGCTTGCCTCTTCTCCCCGCCTCTGCTCCCCATTTTGCTTGTTACTATTTCCAATTCGTAACAGGTGTGTCACAATCCTGCCCCTATGCAAAGAGTAGGGGGACGTGGTGTGGAGCTTCTCGTGACAATGGTGCATGAGACATCAACCAGGTGTGATAACTTAAGGCTATCATGCATGTCCCTTCTGCACAATACACTGAAAGCTGTATCATACCACTCTGAACAATCACAGCTCTCCCCACACCACGCCAAGAATCTTGGGAAATGTAGTTTGTTAAGGGTGCTGAGAGTTGTCAGATTTCTCCTAGCAGAGCTACAATTCCCAGAGTTCCCTAGGAAGAGCCATTGTTAATGCATTTGAGAAAATGTCACTCTGTGAGGGGAGCAGGGGTACCCTAGCAACTCTTAGCACACTTAACAAACTACAGTTCCCAGGATTCTTTGGGGGGAGACATGGGTGCTTAAAGTAGTATTACATTGTTTTAAAAGTTTAAATCAAAAGTGCAGATGGGGCCCTGTTTGCAGCAGAAACTAGCTCCTCAGCTCACCATCCCCACATTTCAGGAACAGTTTTCTCCTTTGAAAACTATGTACAGTATAAAGTGATATATGTAATGGAAAAATATGCAATCTGCAAATGCCAGCCCAAGATACTGTACTGCCTGAAGTGGGACAGAAAATGGTGCCTCTACCACTCAGTTAAAAATGCATCCTAGCCAAGGCCTTTAAAGTTATTTGGCACCCGAGTTGGAAAATCCCACAGGTGCCTTTCCTCTTTGGTAGTAAAAATACAATAATGATGATGATGATGATGATAAATCAAATGACCAACAATTCACTGTCCTTTCACGACACCCATAATCAGTTGGTAAGCCAGGCCCTGCCAGAGGACTTTTAATTCCAACCCCTCAAATGATATCCCACCTAATGGGGAGAGAAGCAAGACCAGTGACAGCCGAGCTAAGAGCTCAATTCAGAGATTTGTTTTGTGCCTTTCACTCAAATGGTGCAAGTTGGAAAAAGCCAGGCTTCTGCGGCTGTTGATTCTCACGTTCTATGACGCCTGGTTCCTATCATGGTGTGCGTGTTTGGAAAGCAAGCCCATTTCAAGGGCAAATAATGCCCGTTTTTCGTGCTTTATCAATAGGGCGGGGAAGGAAAAAAACAGCAACTAAGAAATATTATGGTTATGATTTGTCAGTTTTTCACAATGAGGCCCGAGGGCCCCCCAAGGCAAGGCGAAGAGGGGCCTCGGCTTCCCCGGCAGCCAGCCCAGCCCCTCCGCGTTCACCTTGGCGGAGCCGCAGGACTGAGGCGGCGGCGGCGGCGAGGCCTGAAGCGCCGCGAGAGGGACTGTCGGTTTCCGCCCCGTCACGTCACGCTTCGCCCGCGCCTGCCTCCCTGACTCGGAGCGCCTGGCTGCACGGAGGGGAGGGCCGGCCAGCTGAAAGCCGAGGCCGCCCGACGCCGGTCCCTAAAGCTCCGAGGCGGGTGCGCCTCCGAGGGACGCGCGGCGACCCCCGGGCATGGGCCGCAGAGGCGCCGGGGGAGCAGCGGGCTCAGGGAAGCGGCCCGCGCCTCCCGCCGCCGCCGCCCGGCGTCTCCTCGCGCGCTGCCTGCCGGCGGGGGCTGCGGCGGCTCTGTGAGGAGGAGGAGAAGAGGCGGCGCCGCGGCGGCTTTGGCCCGGCCCTTCGGGGTGGGCCCCGGGCCAGCCCGTCCCCAGCTGCCGCCCCCGCCGCGCCGGCAGAGCTGGCAAGTTCCTGCCTTTCGCGCCCAGCCCCAGACGCGGCTCGGTCTCTCCGCGGCAGGTGAGGGGACGAAGCGGAGGCGGCGAGGGCGAGGGGACCTTGGCGAGGCGCGGCGGGTGGCCAGGGGAGGACGCCGGCCTCTCTCCCGGGGGCGGCGGGGACGCACGTAGGGAACGCGGGCTGGGCGGTGGGTCGCGGTGAGGCGGCGGGCGGCGGCGTCACCTCTCCGCCCGGCCGCCCTCCCGCGCGCAGCGGGTGCTATGGAGATGAGCGCAGGTTCGCTGCGCAAGAAGAGCCGCGGCGTTGCCAGGCGCCCTGTTTACCCTCCAGACCCGGGTTTACGCGTTTGACGTGCTCTTTTCCCGGGGACCCGAGGCTCGCGCACTCACACGAGCAGTTGGCGCCCGAGGGGCTGCCGGGTTTAACCCCTGGCTGTCCGGCTCCCCCCGCGCCGAGGCGGCACCGTGGCTGGTGGAGCGTCGGGAGAGGCGTTATTTGCAAGGGGACGCCCGTGTGAAGGAGCAGAACGCCTCTCCCTCTCTTTGCTCAGGGAGGAGGGAGGAGTAGTTCTGACTTAGATAAGATTAAAAGCCATGATGGGAGCCAGATCCCTTTCCCTTAGGGTATGCCAACTTGGTCTACTACTCCTTCAATCCCTCCCCCCCAATAATAGTAATAGTAGTAGTAATAATCATAATGACCAACGCCAAGGTCTCCTGCAGCTGACTCAGGCCTTTTTCAAATCTTTCCCCTCCCCTCCTCTCCCCGAGTAATGAGTAGCATATGTAACTTGGGATCCGCTTGAATGAGGCACAAATGCGTTGGTTTTCAACAGTTTTTTAAAAGATCTGACGCATCTGCGTCTGCCCTTGCGGAAAGAAGAATAAAGTTACGTGCCTGTCTGTCCAGGGTACAACAGTGTCAGGCTACTGAGAACGTGTGGAAAGAAAGCCACGCACTCCCTATTACTTTTGGTTCAGTGCAGATTCACAGTTTTGTTAACTCAGCATTTGGCAACCCCCCGGTGCTTTTGGTGGTAGCAGCAGCGGGCAGCTCATGTTTGCATTTGGCTGAGTTGTTTCAAGCAAGGGAGAGAGCCTGACTGCAAGGTGCTTTGTATGGTGGTGTTTTCTAAATGTTTTGTTTCCTGGTTCTGTAGTTGCAGCTGTTGGCGAGATTGGTGCAAGAAGTAACATTCGTAGGGACATTGCATTTACAGAAGTGATCTGGCGCCAGAAACAGAGTTCAGAGACAGTAAAATATGTTGTTCTCTTGGCTGTAAGAGGGAAAGATGAAAGAAAATGCAACACTAGAGATAGAGGAATTTTACATAAAAACAAGGCTTCAGACACTGAGGCTGCATTGGGATGGTATATTTTTTCTGCAAGCTTGCAATTCATAAAATCCCATTTTATGCTGTATGATATTGTCTGAATGCAAGAAAACATTACATTTGTAAAAATGCTGCAATCCTATGCCTACTCAGAAGGAAGTCCCATGTGCTCACTGATACTTAAAGTGCAATCTTGTGTGTTTTTACTCAGAAGTAAGTTCACTAGTGGTGCTTGCTCCCTAAGCAACTATGTTTAGGATTTCAGTCTTCCTCCCAGTTAAACGTGCATGGAATTTCAGACTACATCCCACTGAAATCACTTGAGATTTACTTCTGAGTATATGTGCTTAGATTTGTGCTGTGAGTGCAGTCTCCTCCTCCTCCACTGGAGTCGGTGAAGAGAACCACCTTGGTTTTAGTGGAACAGCTCCCACTCCTGACACAATCGTGCACCAAAGGCTACATACCAGTGGTGTGAAACAGTGGGTGCCATCTTACATTCTCATGCGTATTGTAAGATAGATGGGAAGGTGGCACACTCCATTCAAACCATGCATGGTAGAAGGGGGTCATATACATTTGTTTATTTGCGCACCCATATCCAGTCTCCCAGTCCACCATTGGTGATGGTGGACTCTGCTTCCTGCATGTATCTCTCTTGGTGGGTTGGAACAAAAAGGTGTCCTTACCCGTGCTGAACTCATATTAAAACTTCCCATTTAGTGAGGGGAGATTGTTGCCTAGGGAGAGTTTGCAAATTAAAATGATCATAACATGCTTTAAAAATGGCATTAAAGGTTCTGCACAATTGTCAACATGTGGGAAAAGCTGGCAGCATAGCTGACATTTGTTTGTTTTGTACCTGGCTAGCGCTGTCTTGTTGCTTTTAAGTTTCTGCCTTAGCATTATTTATTTGATTCAGTTGTCTCAATGTATTTCGTTTGTCTTAACAGGCAGCTTGAGAACATTTTAAATATATGAAAACTTTTGAACTTTATATTAAAAAACCTGAACTGAACTGTGATTCCCATCAAAAATATTACCATGTGTTTCAAGCTGCTGAGCTGTGGCATTTAGACTTGCAGCTTGCCTTTGTAGTTCTGAACTAATTATAATAATTTTATAAACACTTAAATGCAATGTTATATTAAAGGATAAAATTAGCACTATATGGGTGCCTTGGAGCCACTTTTAGGATGTATGAAACCAACATATGGTAGTGAAATGTTGGTGGGCACCTAACAGTGTTCCATCGACTTGGGTAAACCATACATCCAGTAAATGAACTCTGAATTGCAGTGGTTGCTTAAATCTATAAACCTAAGGCTATATTGGCCCTGCATAGGGAGTTAGTAACTAGGAAGTGGACACAATAGAGCTTGCTTCAAAGTAAACATGGAAAAGGATTCTGTTGCACGTTTGTTCATTTCTTATAGAAATGTGGGGTTGTTGTTTTTTTCCTGACTAGTGAGAATACCGAACAGTCATACCAAAATGACTTGCTTTGGATATTCTTGGGTTAAGTCCCATTGAATTCATTGGGAGAAAACAATACTGTATGTGGATCGTAATTTAACTTTGCTCCAGATAAGTGAATTTTGTATCACTGTAGCATCTGATAATTACCGGTATACTGCCTGGTTGCCTCCTAATTTAATATGTCATAAAAGTAGTGGGGTTGTAGCTGCTGTATGTCATGGGGGAAAGGGCCCAACTCAGATATAATGAATACAGTGTTTAATTAAATATCTTAATAGGGGCATGTAGAAAAATGAGAGAGCGATTCTCCAAGTTGTGGAAGAACTGATGTGTCATCAACTCCTTTCTTTTGTTCTCCTATTCTCATCCAAGCTGCAACTTGTTGCACACTCATAGTTTTCTCATTTAATGTTTAACTCTGCAAACACACCCTACCCAAAGGAAGATGCAACCATTGCCAGGCAGCATCTATTACTTCTTTACACATGTCTAAACCTGATCCTTAAAGCTGGTATCTCAATAGGCTATCAGTGAATCACATGGAATGCCAGATGTTCAAAGAAAATGGGCTCCTGCCTGTTTACAATGGCTGCACTTGTACATATTGCTGAACCATGGTCTAGCACTACATGCACGAGTGTAAATGAACTGAGGCTAGCTCTTCTGCAAAAATAGCCCTGCATTAAGGAGAGAGATCACTTTTTTAATTTTGGGGTGTGGGTTGAGCACAGTCTCTGATGGAAAATGCTTGTCCATTTTTGAAATTTTATCAAGGGCAAGATAAACTTAGATATTGTTGACTGCCCACCCCACCCCAGCTCACATTGGGTTGAGTAAAAAATAAGTTAGGGGACTTAAAAATAAGTGGATCATCTTATTTTTGGAAGAGCCCAAATTTAGACTTCCTTGTGCCCCCCAAACCCCATGTCAAGGTGCAATCATTATAAGCCATGGAATTTCTGTGGCTTATAATGACAAAACCCCACTAATTAGGACCAACCAAAATGTCACAAAATAGTGGCAGACTTTCTCTTCACCAGGCAACTATTGCGCAAAGCAGATGATGGGGCAATGAAGAAAAAGCAAAAGTAAAATAACAGTAAAATAAAGGCAATTTATAGTTAAGCAAGCCTGAAAGGAATCCTCTTGATGTTCTCTTATCAGCCTAGCCTCAGGAAAAAACCCTCTCCAGAGTAGTTAATTCTCATACAAATATACCTGTTTACCACATTCTTTTCCTAGAGTTTGCTGTTTCTGTGCATTTTGCCTATTAAATGGTGAGAATGTGCATCGTGTGAGAGGAGGCAGCTGTCTCCTTATCCTCCCATTCTTTTAAGAGTTATTTAAAAAATGGATCTGTTTGGGAGCTCTTTTTTTTGTAGGGGGGAGGACAGTTTTCCTTCCTGGTGTTCTGGCCAGGGCATTTGTCAGTACCTGCCAAACAGTGATGCTATATGGCTGCTCATTATGCCCTGCGAGTTGTCCTTGGAAGAGCTGCATCCACTTTCTCCAACATAGGCATCTACCAGGTAAAATTATAGAAACAAATTACAGCCAGGGTTGGAGAAGCTGTAGCCCTCTGGATGTTATTGGCTGTACAGAGAAAACATTTTCGGCTTACCTTGAAACCAGTAAAGGGTAAAACAGTCTTCAGATCTTGTGGTGTGAAGTGCTTACTGTGTAGCTGACCACAGTGAAGGACTCCATGCATGTCTATTTACCAAAGCCATGTCCAGATTAAATTGAATTAATGAAGATTGACAGATATTGTGTCCTCAGTGGGAATGATAGGGACACCCATAACAGATAGGGATCAGTCTCCTCTTGTCATTAAGGTCTAAAACCTTGGGGACCTGCATAAACTACTCTTGTATTTGGCACTTCAGGATAGGCTGGAATGCTTTTGTGTCAAATTCTCAAGGCTGTATCACTAAAGCACACAATGCAAGATTGCTCTTGAAGTTGGTTTCGAGGCTTCAGCTGGTGCAGAGTACAGCAGGAGTCAATCTGCTTGCTGGATTAGGTCATCACTGGCAAAGCACATGACGTGGGTCAAGTGTCAACATTGTTGGGCACCTACCTAAGCACCGGGAGCTCAGACGGGCTCATTGCCAATTCCACTGCCATTGGAATCCCTTCCACCACCAGAGCTGTGGCACGACACTGCTGCCACCACTGCTGTTACATTCTTCAGTCACTTCCCTTGCCTTTGTGCCCTCTCTTTTTTTGTGATGCTTATCCAGAAGCA